TATTCATAGAAAACAAAACAAATCCTTTAGTGGATAATTAAGGAAGGACATAATGCTGTATCGAAAGTATAAGTTTGAAGAATTTTAGTGACGAAAAATTAGCATAGGATATTTATGAATGAAGTGATCAAATAGAGAACGATAAGTCTTCTAATGAAGGTATTGTTGATTTAGGTGATTTAGGTGAAATGAATAGACAATTACAAGTGAATAACTAATAAGAATGGACAATAGGATTTACTGGATATTTTAAGGGGTTATTTATAAGTGAGAGTAATTAATTAATAAGAAGGTAGGAAGTTTCATTTGTCAGATTAAAAATATTCCTTTAGCTTCTTCTTATTTCAATTGCTTTCAGAAGATTTTTCGAGGTTTTTCAACTCTAAAATTTGTTTTGTTGTGTCAAATTCATTTTATGCGATCGTTTTCTAATTAGTAAAATTCACTTTTTGTTTTAAAATTAAATTCATAATTTAACAAAAATTCTTATTATACGTGAGAATACATTACTTTCTATTACTATTTTCCGTTTTTGTAGTCTATTTTGAATTAATTAATTTCTATCATTTTGTGAAAGCAACCATTTTCTTGCATTACTTTATAATCCTAATGATTGCAACAACCCAATTAACGGAAGGTTTTTAACTTATTTTCTATTTCAATTAAGTTAAATTGATTTCTTCTTGAACTCCAAAAGAATTACAAAGAGTTTTCAAATATGATGAAAACTCGAAATGATAACTTTTGCCTGAAGGCAAAAAGTAAGAATATTGTTGTTGGCAGCGGAAAACGAATGCAAGGTCATTCTCGATTTTCGATTTTCAAAATGACGATTGAATAGTTTGGCGGGCTTCAGCGCACTTTTATAATTTATGGACTCTCGAAGTATGCCCAGATGGTTAAAGAGAGGATGGCCTTGCATCTCGGACCATTTTCCTTTACCACTTCTATCCTTAACAATCTTATCAAAACCCCGCTCTACATCTCCTTTACATCTTTTTTCAACATTTTTCAGGGAGAAAGGGAAGAAAGGTGGCGCCAAGCTGGTACACCTGCTGATTACTAGTGAATTGTAATTTACATAAACAGTTATTTCAATTGGCAGTGACCATGGCCTAGAAAAAGATGTACACATCCTTTTTATAAGCTGGCGCCAATCTGTGAAACCATATTTTCTTCTTCTCCTTCAGATGCACCATCATTCATTACTTTCAGCTTTTAATTAAGCGAAAAAATGGCTTAGGCATAAAATATTCAATGCCTTCCTTTTTTTTAATTGATGCAATTTTCGTTTAGCATATCAATGTTATCATTAACAAATTTAAATATTTTGAACTTATTTATGGAATTTGAAGATTCACAAATTTCGAAATCTTGTTTCACCTGTAATTGTCATATTATGAAACCATAATAGGTATCAGTTGTTGTTGTTTGAGAAATATAGTTTCAGATGCATATTTTTCCGGAACATTAACAATTCTTTATGCACAAAATATTAGAGAAAGTATATGCAGTAGAAATATTGTTGAAAATAAAAAAAGAGAAATATACTCAAATCAATCGCTTATTTCGAAATAAGCTACAAGAATTTAAAAGCAGAAATTCATACAATAAACGTAAGTATTTTCACGCGGTAGCGCAAGTATTTTCACGTAGTAACGTAAACATTTTCGCGTAGTAAATCGTAAATATTTTCACGTAGTAACGCAAGTATTTTTACGTAGTATTTAACGATTTCTTTTAAAATTTAAAGGATTAGAGAAAATTGCATATCTTTCAGATAAAAAATTCGTCAATTTTTCACCTAATATTTTTCGTTGAGAATACATATTATTACTATTTAACATAACTTATAAATTTGTTTTTTGAAATTTTAATTTAGATGAAATGGATGAGTCATGATAAGAAAGAGTATCATTTAGCTATTAGAAAGAAGTTCAAATATTGTCTTGTCGATCTTACGGACATTACGCAACAGTATCCATATGGCTTAGTGATTGTTGAAACTACGGAAAATATGTTGCGCTAATTTCTTACTATCATAAATCGATTAATAGTAATAAGCAATAAATAAGCTGTAAAATCAGGAAGATTATTGCATCATTTTCTTATTCCATTGATTAGATATCAATTTTTGCCGCTTATCATACTATTCGTTCACTAATTATAATTTGGAATTGTGTTCAAAAATTTTTGCATCAACAAAAATAATGAAAGTAGTAGTTGTGTGTAGTTGGCCATGACCTGATTTTTGATTTTAGTAGTATTATGGAAGCGCAAATATGCCATGCATGATGTTTTTGTGAGATATCATTTCTGCAAATCGTTAGATTCGAACAATTTTCATTTCATTAATTGCATTCCAAATTTTTCTTGCAGTTCAGTAAGCATTCGAGATTTAGCGATAAGATTATTTAAATGGAATTAATTCCTTCTTTTTGCCATTTTAAAAATATTTTTAGTTTAATTTCATAAATTGTCTTTCATCTATGAATCGAATGTTACCCTTACAAAAAGCAAAATTTCACTTCACTTTTCTTTTTGTTATTCTTTCGTCTGAAAATTTTATTCGTCTAATTCCACACACAATTCATATTGTGATTACATATTATTTCTTCTACAATTTATATTGTGATTACATATTATTATTAAATTGGAAAGGAATAATCTCTCTGAAACGAACAAAATTTTCACTCTTGCGTTTAAACGCATTTTCCAAGTCATTAAATATCTTCAGCCAATATAACTTAGTGTACAACATAAACCCTTTAATACTCCGATCAGCTATTAATAGGAAAATACACCGCCAATGCGTTTTTTTTATCGAATAATTTTTTTCAAAGCAATTCCGATTCTCCGGATATACACATAACCATTAAATATTATTGAATTGGAGGTCATACGCACCACTTATATAGGCTATGTAAGTATAGAAGCATAGAACCAGATGGTCATTATAATATATATATATATTGGCCAGCCAAACAATGATCAATATTAAATATTAAACTGTGCAAACAAGAATTTCCCAAACAATTAAATAAATAATCGTTTCCTTGCTTATTATTATTCTAAAATTGTAACAAACATGTGATAGAATAAGATTTCTTGTTCATTTCCTGTATGTAAGTATTTTCAAAATGCCATTAAAATAGTAATTTGAATTAGAGAAGAGGCGATCGGGTTCATTCGATACACATCACTATATATTTGTGTCACAATATATATATGCAAACAAAAACAATACACGCCGATTGTTAAAACAAATTAATCATAGAAAAGAAGAGAAATAAATGGAGCGAAAAGATTCTCAGGACTGTTCGTAGCATTTCATACCTGGGCTGCATTTAAGCGGTGATTAGAAGTCTTGCCTCACCCATTATACTTCATAATATCATAGAAAATTTGAAATATGAATTAATCTTTCATTCTTTGGATAATTCTTCCTTAAATCTTCATCTAAACTATTTCACTCCAATTTCATTCTTTTAATTACATGCAATTTATGTAAATTAAAGAAAAAAAAACAATATATTTATAAATGACAAGAAATATTCATTAAATTTCAAGAAAAATGAGATATGACAAAGAGCGCTTCATGCAATCTTTGTTATATTTGAAGACTAATCTTCAGCATGAAGTTAACAATTTAAAATAGACGATATTGCATGCAATAAATAATTTCACCCGGTTTTCATGGATCTACAATTATGGACACTTGTTAGTAATTTATTGAATACCCTGCTTTCTCAATTCCGGAATGATATTTTCCCAATCTTGCACTATCTAAATACTGGTCCCTGGAACTTTTACGGCATATGCCTATAATCGAACAATGAACTTCTTTGAAATATTCAAGAGGCTGATGTGGCGCCAAAAACTGAGGGAACAAGTTCCTTGATGGAGCGAGCCCACATGGATGGATAGATAGATCACCGAATAGCTGTAAACAACTAACCTCTCCATTCTTTATTCACCCGTCTCCTCTTACCCATATTCCTACCCTTACCCATGCACCTACTCTTACCTATAATACCTATACCCATATTCGTATTATACCTCAAAGAACAGATGCTTTTTTATGCATGCAAATAATGCTTCTTCTTCTTCTTCTTATAAACAACCTCGGTGAACAGTAACTTTTACCCAAAGTATATATATGGAAGGAGAAAAAAAGGGAGCGCAAAAGCTGCCACCATCCAACCAATACACTCTTCCAATCCCTTCCATTTCACATAGCAAACAAGTCCATCCATCCATCCATCCATCCATCCATCCATCCACCGTCCGTCTGTCTATTTATCTGTTCCGCTGTCCTCACAACTGTACTTTTTACGCGCGCGCTTCTTGTCTATATTGAAAAAAGAAATAATTTTATCTTTTGTTCTTTTAGAAGAACAAAAGATTGTGTATTTTTGAAGAGTTGACAACAGTGACATTGTTATTGTTTGCAAATCATTTCACAGAGATACTTATTTGTAGAAGAGAGAGGAAGAGGAAGAGGACAAAAGAGAAAAGATACGAAGAGCATCCTGGGTGATCGACAAGTTTCTTAATGACAACAACTCATTCTATAGTCTTACCTATCATCCTGGCAATTCGCGACAACTCAGGAGACGACCGCAACAGCTACTTTTATGCTTGTACAGATAGATCACTCACTTCTTCCTTTTCTCTTTTTCTATTTCAGCTGGCTGTAATGGGCCACACTGTTCCAACCCCTGTGATAGCTTTCTATCATATTGTCATGCTTCGAATGCTACGCCATTCTTCCTTCCATTTCATTTGGCAGCTTTATATCACTTCTTTGTGCCCTTTTGGCAACCATCCATTCGTACTTCAACAAAACAAATCTCGTGGAATTCCGTATGAAAGAGAGAGCGTTGGAATCTAGTATCACCATCTGATACATTCAGATCACGAGCTGCAGTTTATAAGGCCCAAGTGATCGTCTCAATCAACCACTCTCATCCATACCGCCCAAACTTCTGTAACAGAAGATGGAACATGCTGCATGCATTGCGCGTAGTTAGTTTGAAAAAAGTGACTGTATGTCTCATTAAAATGTCATATGAGTAACAATGATTGTGTTATCAAAAGCAACAGCATTCTGATATTTTTTGTTATCATGCACTGATCTCCTGTTATCATTAAAGATAAGATTCGCCATTCTTCGCGAATTTTAGGCAGAATTTTCTATATTACTCTAACGAAAAAGGAATGTTGTTCACTCGCCACTGTTGACAGCAGTCTGCAGGCTGCAAGTGGACCGCATGCAGATTGTACGTTACTGATAAGGATGGTAGCTTCTACATCTACGCTTCACATCTCCTTGGTTATGTGCCAACTTTTCCTCTTTTAATGTGAAATGAAAATAGAGGTGGAAATGAAGATGGTGCAGACGATTAAATTTTTACGTGAGCCTTTCTATAAATAAGGTTAAAAGCAATAGGCGTCATTATAGGAAGAAACAAAGAGAGGAGGATGAAGAAAGAGAAGAGAGCATTTGGAAAGAGATGACCAGTTTATTGGTGGAAGAGAGTGGAGATGAGAAATAGAGAGGGAGGTGTGAAGAGGGGGGACAGAGAGAAAAAGGAAAGGGAGGGGCTGTGGAGGCGGAGGGTGGTTGGTTGGTTGTTGTGTTCCATCATAAAGGAAGGAGTGCATTGCTGAGTGCGGGAAAGCGACCAGTCGGCGTAATGGTGGGAGTGCGTGGTTGTGTTGGTCAACTGTCCACTCGACCCTGATGACCCCTATCTGATTGCCCTTCTCTGCTTACACTACCTGCGTAATGACCACATATGATGACACATATAATGATGCTGCTACCTCCATTACTAATGCTCCCATTACTACTGTTAACGATCGCGTGACCGCTGATATCTATCACTTCTCATTGCCTCTATCACTCACCACCTTCTATCATTATCACTATCATTATCACAGTAAGACTATCGATTGATCAATCAGTTAAACTGAGCCGCCGCAATTTTGTGCACTGTGAACGCAAACTTACTCAAATATCTACATCTATAGAATAACATTAATTAATGTTCCAATTTCATTTGCAGCGATATGTTAGTGACCAATGCTTTAGCCGTGATCATTGCTGTCTACTATTTCATCTTATTCACTCCATTTACTTGTTTACTTTACTTATCCACTTAATTATTCACTTGTTCACCTGCGACATTGACTCGTATCATATAGCATTGTAAATGTTTGACTCGTATCATGTAACATTGTAATTGCCTTTTGACGTTATTTGACTCGTTAGAAATGGATACTAAAAAGTTTGCAATTTTTTGCGCATTTCCATGCATTCATCTTCGAATGGTTATCAATGGTGAATCTTGAAAATTTACTGGGTATTTTGATCTTAAGCTTTGAAATATAAGTAAAATTTTAGTCAGATATATCAGTTAAGATACACCTGAATTCGAATTTTTACTAGTTCAAAGATTTCATTAATTCACGCAAAAATATAGGCGTAAACATTTTGTGTATTCGTACTGTATAATGGCACTCTTCATACACCGAAAATATTTATAAAATATGAAATACTCCCACTCTACCACTATAGGGGGAAGAGAATCCTTATCGGGTTTAACAAGTGAGATGACCTATGTTCCCCTCTTCTTTTTGTTGTTGTAGCCCATTCTTCATTCCTCTTCCCCTTTTACAATGATCGGATAGTGTTGTCCATCAACATGACCTATGAAGAACTTCTATCTCCCTCTTCCTCTCAACCCCATAAATTAATCTTTTTCTTGAAATGTTCAGATTATTGAACAACTGGACGATGATTCCCTCCTTCCACTCTCTTTTTTTTGCACTTTATTTTTTGTTGCTGTTATTAATATAATCATTTGGTTTAACAACTGACCATCATAACGACCAGAGCTGTGTTTTCTGTTATTTAAATGAACCTATCACAACTGCTCGGCGCAGGTGTAACAGTTTTTTTGCTTAAAATTCACTTGTGAGTTGAAAGATCATTTCCTTGAAGCATTCATATTCTTCCAACTTTTTTTGAACAAAATGTAGTAACAGTACTGTTTATAAATTTAGAATATCCTCCGATCTTGCAATTGAATATAAATTAGATGATTTGCGCTTGCAAATGTCCGAATGATTTATCCTGCGGGTATTGATATCGTTAATGCTTCAGTTATGGTTATGTCAGTAGGAAACGAATGCTTTTTAAGCTGCTAGTATTAGGTCAGCTTCCATTCATGCTCTCTCTCTCTCTCTCCATTATATGTCATTCCTTGTCCTAGACCCTGTCCAATTCTCTTCTATGTCCTGATTATTTGAGGCCATATGACCATAGTATTATATCCCTTCTTCAGTCATGCTTGATTTACTGCTTGACACAGCTTTCTCATTGCTGTTAATTTTCTCAAGCTGTTCACATCTGTCATACTTTTTCGGATATCATATTTAGGGTTATTTTCAGCTTCCAAAAGAGCAAGATGATAGAAATGATATTTGAATCGCAGTTAGTTTATTGATAGTTTGCATACACTTGTTAAGTTCCTAATGCTTTTCCCTACCTTAAAAATTCGAAAATAGAAGAATTGTTCATGTTTTTAGATACAAATTTTTGCAGCAAATTTTTGTCGTTTTGTTATTACTGAAAAGAATTGTCCCAAGGGGAAAATACGCCTTCATATCGAAAGATGAATGTTCTGTTAACATATGGAATAAGATTGCCGTACCTTTTTGGAATTGAATTCTTTTACAGAATTATTTATGTGGTTTAATTCGTGGAAAAATTGTGTTACTTATTACGTGCGATAATTATGTTTAACCTAAGCAGTTTACTTACATCAAGTATGGTTTTCAGATTTATTAATTCTTCCGGTATCATTTGGATAAAAGTAGAAGCATTGAAGCTGGAAAGTACATCGCGCATTTTCTAATTTTTCTCCCCTGTCCTGAATTATCTGGTAAATTCCATGAAAGATTCAGTGATTATATCGACACCGGTGAATGCTACTACAGCTGTTACTGTTCCTTCTAAAATGGGACCTGTGAAAATACTGAAACGTAGCGCTCGACGTTGTCTATTTGGACGTCCGGATCCACAAAATGTTGATCAATGGTTAACTAAAGAGTTAAATGAAATTCGGCGTGAGCAGCAATTGAGATGGGGTTTCTTGTTCAGTCCTGAAAATCCATGCGCATCGGCAATTAGTAAGGAATGGGAATTTATTCCTGTTCCGGCCGAATCGGTAAGTTATACATATTTCACGTCTTCATGCATTTTTATCTTCGAGGGGCTTTAATTACTTTTAGTGTTACAATATATCTTTTCAAGATTGGTTTTAATTAAATTTAATTTGTAAATTTGATGTGTTCTCCATTTACACAAGTATTCATAGGATGTTAAAATAAATTTCAAGATTCTGTATTAGACATATAAAGAATTTATTTAGTATTATTTTTTGTTATCGATTTGTTACAGGTTCCTCAGTTCTATCGCAGCTCTTTTTATTTATCTAATCGATGCACGCCATGTGAAACTGAGAACTGTATGCCTTGTAGCAGTAGTATAAGTAACAACTGCAGTGTTCCTACGTCTACTTCTGTAACAGCTGACTACTCAGGTCGAGAAGTATCGGCCCTTCCAGCCACATCAAGTCTATCGAAATGCAAAGAACGACGTATAACTAAGAAGCAGACAAAACTAACTGGTTGGTACTTGCTTTTTTTGATTTCTGAATTTTCAGTGAGATATGTTTCCGCATTCTTTGAAAACAATTATTTGCAGTCAGAATCACATCTGTATTATGTGACAAAAATTTTGTTTGAGGCAATTTCTTGAAGTTTGAGGTAGTTGGATAGCTTGCCACTTCAGCTCTTGTCTTTCCAAATTTTTGAAGCTCCTGTAAAAAAATCCCTCTTCCGTTTAAATCAAAATTGTAATTTTTAATCAAAAACTTGGGCATTTTTATGTTTGTGAATACTATTTTTCGGTTAGAATTTTTGTCCAGGTGAAAATGTCATGATTTGCATTTCACTGACTTTCCCACCCTTTTTTTGCAGCATTTATGAATGTTGATTCACGTAAGCGGTTGCGCCAGCAGACTAAGAAAGCTCCATCATCACCGAAATCAATACGTTTGATCGGTCACTGCAGATCGCTCATATAGATTAGTAATGCAGAAAGGTCATAGATCAACGATAAGGCCGTCAATGGTTGAGCAAAAACTTTCAAGCCTGAGTGATATTACCTTTCGACAAACGGTAATGTTACGAACGGTGTTCATTTTTTCATGTTTCACGTTGCGTACTGTGGTTCCAATATTGCTGTGATAATGTTATATAAGGAATTTTTACCAGACATGCGGTCGCCTGTTTTTTCCTAGGATCGATCACCTTCGGAAGGTGTGAACAATACTTCTGTGGATGTTTTGACAGGTTTCATTCCAATCAATTACACGCGCAATGGACTCTCCTAAGTACACTTAATGTTATGTAACTCTTTACTTTTTTATCGTATTTCTGGAAAGCGTTTTAAAACAGCCTAATTCCTGAATGTTACATCATTGCTGCTGATCGTGGGGAATTACCGGTACTTTTCCACCCGCATGTTTTTCACTCTTTCTATTAATTGTATGTTTGTGGTCAAGTTGCCAAAATGTGTAAATTACTCTTATAAAGAGTATATTTAACACTGCACATAGTTCTGTCTTGTTTTAGATTATTATTATTTCTATTTGTTTGTTTACAAAAACTTTTTTGTGCTATTAAAACTTTTTCATCGGTGTAGGTTGTGATTGTAAAATACTGTGGGATTTGGAAATTCGAAATTAATGATTGCTAGTTGTGATTATTCCATTGTGCTTAGTAAAATTCGTCTTTTAAATAGGTTTTCAAGTAGAAAATTTCATTTTTTTTGCATAAACATCAAACACATTGCATCTTCCGCTGTTCAAGTAAATAAAGGTCTTTTGCACAACTAAACACCGAGTTATAATGAAGAATTAAACTGATAGTCATTGAACTATTTAGTTGAAACTTGGTATTGGTTCAGAATATAAAAATGTAGTACAACTAAATTTGGAAAGACGCTGAAATCCTCGGTTTTGAATATCCTTTGAGGCCTGAGAAGTTGATAGTATATTTTTTATGACAAAAGAAAAGGAAAAGAAAGAAAAGAAAAGGAAGAGAGGTCTTGACAAAGGAGAAATATCACTATGCAATTTGGTGTTGCAAACTGTCAGTACGAGATTACCTTTGCTCCAATAAGAGGATTAGAGAGGTCAATGGTCAAGGTGATTCGTGCAGGTCACAGAGCTCTTTCTATTAAGTGGAAATTGTGTCTGGGAATTAGTTTACTGTAAAGGCATGCGTCTTGCGCACATAAAATTTCTAGACATCAAATATGTCGTTTTCCGTCTCTTGTGTAATTATATCAAGAACATTCAAGAGAAAAGTTGCGAAATCTACAACAATCAAGTTAAACTAATCAATTATGGCTTAAGGTCTCAATTCAGTTTGCCTCTTATCCAATCTTCATATTACTTTGCATTTTCGTAAAGTCTATTCGAAACTCGGATTAAAATAGGTAATTGGATTTAACATGACCTAGTTAAATAAAGGCCCTCTAATGCAAAAATGTGCATCATAACTACAGTGTATAAAATGACTACCTACTATCTATTCAGAGATCCTTTTTTACATGTCCATCAATCGATTGCACGGCGATTATCTCTCCTTATTGTTAATATTCCTGGCA